CGGTCAAACACTGAAAGTCTTTTGACGTCCTTGGCGCGCAGCTGCCAGGTTTCTGATTCGTATAGTAATATGGAGCGCACCGCAGCATTGTGCATTGTAAACGCGACCCTTGACAGAGAAGCTGATGCCACGCCTACACCACAGATGACGCAGGTTCACAAAAGCTGCTCTGACCTTCTCAATCCGGATGGAAATTTCATCTTTCGCGAGACCACCGGGACTGATACAGCTGCCCAGGTAAACAAATTTGTCTACTACCTCAATCGGTTCATCAAGAGTTTTAACGTCGCTGTTGCGTTTGGGAAGGTTAAAACCGTCAGAATCTGCCGAGGATTGCTTAATCGACTTGTGGCTGTGCTTTATGTTGGTGAGAGGTTAAGCTGTAGGGAGCTCGCCGGCCATTAGCAAACCACTGATTGATTGGCATCTTTGCTTGAACTGTGGTGCTCAAACCGTTTTTTCTTTGACCTGTTGTAAACCTTGTTGCATTCATATTGATGGAATAACAGCAGTTAAGAGAGTAATGATTATAATAACAGTGATGAGCTAATACCTTCAGCGTGTTGGTTGACTCCAACAGATGTGGCGCGGCCCACAGGGGATTCCAAGGAACCAGGACGAATCCCAACTGCGCGGAGTACATCAGTCAAAAACACATTGCCTGACTTTACCGAACGATGTTCGTTGGCATTGACGGAAGCTGCGTGCATATTCAATGGGTTCCCAGTGGCTTTAGTAGGCTCGCGTGGTTTTTTCGAACCCGATCGCACGTTCGAAGACTTTTGTGTCTGTGACATGACAGCCGCTGAATTCTGTGACCCAGCAATATTCTCTGACGGCTTGGCAGCGCTTGGGCCAGATGAACTACGCAGACTGGCTGTTTTGCGTCTCCCAGCAAAGTTCGTGTTGGTGCCATAGATGGCTCGCAGCATTGACCAAAATTGAACAAGCTGCAAAGCAACAAGCGGATTAGGAACGCAGAGAGCAATGTGTACGGTCAACCTGGCAAACAGTTAGATACTGAGTATACACCCCTAGAAGGATGAAGACGATGTGTTATCTATCCCAAGTCTGTGCGGATAAAGGATAGATTCAGTATGATAGAATATATCGAAAACTTGGCGTTCACTCCTTTGTTGAAAATCGGTGTCTTTTTTGTCAATCTGCAGAATCAAATAACTTCTATGCATCCGGACTCCCTACTATAATGAGGTACTCTCCTACTAGTAAACACCTTGGACAGATATTAAGACGACATGATCATTTCTTACCGAAACGGACAACTAATAAGGAACATTTTCTTTGCCTGCAGCATGATGTTACCGAAAATACGAACCATATGCAGATAGTTTTCTAGCGTGCAACAAGCAACCTCATACATTTAAGACCGTTTGCGCAGCGAACTTTATCTTGTTGATTGTAATAGATTCACACTTACTAGTGTTGTACATGGCCCAGAAAAGGACAATCAGTTGCTGTCATCACGAATGTGCATATTCACAACATATATACTACTTAGCCACGTTACTTATCCGACCGCTGGGGATATGGTACGATGAATCCCGCACCAAAACAGTTTTGCCGCTCCCTGCTAAGCACTGCTGCGACCAATAAGCCTGGGCCGCATGCAGTTGAAATGAGAGTTGTCAACTGTGCAGTCTCCCGCATCGTCGGGGAGAGGTACGGAAGGGGTGCACATGGTACGGAGATGGTAGATGAATGTTAAGGGCTGGGTAGTGACCAAAAAGGCTAATGGGGGTGGGCGAGCAAGGTGCATTGACAAGGATTATAGGGGGTCAGGGTCTAATGACCACAAAGACGGGAGTTGTGGCATTGTGGCGATGTAAGTTACTTGGATGTAGATTGAGGGCATTGGGATGAAGTAAACACTGCAGTCCACAGCTAGATCATCATAATTATCAGAAACAGACCGTATCAGAATTGGCCAACTTAGTAGCTCACCTTTTCGTATAATTCGCTAACAGTGGTTGTATGTTTTTCAGACGTGAGGTTGGCAGACGGACAAAGAGTATGCTTATGAAGAACCGTTGTTGGCCGTTGGATTAAGTTATCACACATAACTGAGGCCTCAGTCAGCGTCGCACATAGACTCGGGCCTAGCAGTTACAATGAGTGGCCAGGATGAGCAAGTATACACACGTTTGTGATGAAGAAGGCGCCTCGTTGGCCATCGCGTCATGCTATCATCCATAGCTAACGCCTCATAACCAGCGGCACAAATTTATTTGAGCCTAGCAGTTAAAATAAGTAGCCGCGGTGGGCGACGACGCGTGCAGTTGTGAGTATGGAAGTTCGTTGTTAGGCTATTGGATTAGGCTGTTATGGCTGGCTGAATCCTCAATCAGCGTCGCAAATACACATGGGCCTATCAGTTACGATAAGCGGCCAACTCAGGTAACAATGCGTAGGGTTATCATGATGAAGGGCAATGATTACCTTTTCCGGCCATGCCGTTACCCTTTATGACGTAGCCGGGCTAACTGACGTCATGCTTTCCAAAAGGAGGGATATCTCATCGGATTTTCGTAATTCACGTGCAGACATCTAAAGTTGTTGCACTGTTCCTGACTAGCTGCGCATGTGTGAAAGTAGGATCATCCAGAGCGATGCATATTAGTATCAGTTCTGGACAATGCATCAAACTATGTTTGATTATCATATAGCATGCAGGGCGAGCTCCGAGAAAACTGTTGGGCCGAAGTTTGGCGAAAAAATCACCTTGTTTGTTACGTTCGACGAGTGTACCACATACTACCGCTATTCAGAATTTACATTGCATATTCCGTACGTGTCCTCTCCCATTTGAAGAACACTGCAGAATACGCCAAGATTCGATTTCGGGATCAATCTCATAAACTCGTAATCGCATGTGTATCAGCAGTGTTTGGTGACCTTGGAAATTCAATCACTTAAACAAAATGCTATGAACAAAACATCACTGAAACGTACGACCGGATTAGGCTAACTCTCCATAAAATTCCAAAGTTCGACAACCACATGGTTTCGGCGAAATTAATTTCGGTTTACTTCTTGTGAGCAACGTTGTCGCCTGGTACACTTTGAATACAGCGCGCTGCGTGTTTTTGACCTGGCGCTTAATGCACATTGTGCGTGGTTATTTAGCCGAAATCGCTACCTTGGGAGGTTCAAACCGAGAATTGAGCAGAGGCATTACCGTTATTGCGGCACAGCAACAATTGTACAAAGCACGTCCATCAACTACTCTGATGACTGAACAGCTGGAACAACTAATAAGTAAGCATTTAACGAACGAATAAATCTATGGCAATAAAGCTTTGAAACGCCTCGCAACACCATTTTATGTTCTTTGTTCCACGAGAACCTCAAGATTAGTAAAGTAGGTAGGATGTGCACCACGCAGAGAATCAAGCAAGGAAACACAGAGAAGGAAGTTCGTTAAGAAAAGGAACTCGATGCCTTTGAATGCAATCTTCTAGAGATAGCACACTAGCAAAACGGGGCACGATTTTGGCGTTCATCTCTTTGGGAGGGATGCGTTTAAAACAGTTGTGTAATACTCGGTTTACGCCTAGTTACGGAGAAATATTCTTGATATCTTGATGTCTGAAATCAGTATCTTCGAGATGTACTGTCACAGTGTGATGTGTACCACACTGACAACATTTCAAACTGTCGAAAAATCTGAGCCATGGGAGAACACCATGATTGCACCTAAAAAGGATAATCTAGGCTCTCAAAAAGTACTCAAACATGGATGACACCACGCAAGTATAGTCCATTTCGAAAAGGACACATTCAAGCTGATCGCGCCTGGGCACGAGCCAGTGAATCAGACTGTGAACCGGTTTACAAGAATGTGTCACGCTTCTGGTAAAGACAGTTCCCTTATTCTGAGTAAATGCGAAGGTGCTAGCAAGTGACTGCAATGTCGCCTATCAATTTTGGGATCCGGAATGAGCAGATCGTCAGCACCCATGAGGAATCGAAAGCCAATGATCTTTCCACTGGATTGCTTTCAGATATTAGGAATTTTGCGTTTAACGTAAAGCAGTAGACAATTTGTGATAGGTAGAAACCAGGGCAAACATCTAAAGAGACGAGATACAGTGAATCGCAAGCTGGCTCCAAACAACCCGATCCAACGAACAGCATTCTTAAGAAATATGGACACCATGGTTTCCTGTAGCACTCCGTGTTTATAGTCCAACTCGCAAGAGGACCTCAAGTTAGCGAACAAACTATCGACCACAAAGGTATGTATTAAATCTTCCCGTTATTCAGTATTTGATTGAAGGGCTGTTCAAATGCCACGTTAAACTAAGAATAACTGGGAACATCGCCCACTCCCCCAAGGAGGGCTAATTGTTCTATTTGGGACCCTTGTTGGATAGACCCGTTGTATCCCAAAAGATGACAACAAGGACCGAGAAGTAGCTCCTGAAGGAATAAACAGGTAGACTTACGAAAGACTGTCCGAAGCGAAGGGCCACAGTGGCATTGTGCCTACATACCCAATCCACGCTTGGTCCAACAAATCGATAATGCTTGGCAAGAGCCATGATCAGATCGGGAACGAGAGCGTTGCCAGCATTTATCCAATCCGCGTGCACCAACGACTAAAAGGTGAATATTTCAAGGGTCAATATGTGTATTATTCATTAGACAAACGTGAAATTAGGGTTAACCTGAACACAAAGAAACTCTATACAGGGACAACAGGTCAGAAAAGTACATTACTCTGTCGGAGTGCGGACGGTAAAGTTTGTTCACCAATGCATCGTCAGATATATATTGCGTGGCGTTCCGGCGACCCGAATACCAATTTGGCAGACTGGAGAAATGAGTCGCGGAAAACACCGTGAAAAACAGGGGTATTTAAAGTGCGGATCGAAAGGCTTCATCAACCACCAGACGTCCGTGCACAGGTGAGCAACTACAGACGATTTGCGAGGAATTGAAGGCGGTGCTGCATGCAGGCCCTTGAGGCGCATGTAGACCCAAAGAACCCGAATAGGTGGATGATGATTCAGTGCTCTGCTGTAAGTCATCAATCGACATAGGCACGTTGGCATACCAAAAAATACGGATACCAGCTACCTGTTTATCGTTGAGGAAGACGCGTCATCCACGAAGTCCCTATGTTTGTGATTTCTCGTCTGTCTCTATGATTTACTGTTAACATGAGCTCTCAAATGCGATCCTTCTTCAGCCGATGTGCAACCGGCTTTATCGCCCAAGACGCTTCTTTCCACCTGAGTAGCAATAATCTATTGGCTTCTATGGAGAGAAAAAGGAACTAAGAGAGGTGTACCTACGAACACGCAGGCAGAAGCCGATTGAAACCAGTAACGGAAAACGGAGTAAAATTGTTTCCTCCCTGCAGGTTGGGGATGGAACGTAAGACAGTTTGTACCTTAAAATTTGGACTACTACGGTGTGATCAAACTGATCGCTGTTGCCTTGCGACCAGGCCTTTGTGCCAAAGGCCTACGTGTCGTCCTGTCTAAATTTGGACACCCTGATAGCACCTCAACCCAGATAAAACCAGATCTCTTGATTCTGTTCCTGTAGGTACATCAGTCAGGCACCCAGGGAATTGACATACTGTACGTCATTGCTCACAACTACCGCTTCAAGTCAGCTATCCAGACACCATTTCTCTGCCTTTGTTACCGGGTTTAATGTACGAACTCTCAGGTAGTTGCTCTTGCTTGCACTCTAGAACCTGTCGAATGACGTCACCTGTATCTTTGAGACTCGAATACAGGATCCCATTGGAATTAGTGAGTTTATAGCAACCTAGATGCTACATTCTATGGATTTCAAGTACCTCTAAAGCTGCTTCAGCGGATGGCGTCAGTGCTAGGATAGCTCCGCAAACTACCCGTAAATGGTCGATTATGTACTGTCCGAAATAAGAAGACTGTTTGTCACACATATTTATGCATCAACTGACTAACAACTAGCTCTCATTCATTGAAAGACAGTTTCTATCGAAAACTGACCATCCTCTTGTCCACCAAGAAAAGCTCGTGTATATTCGTAATAGCAGGAGATTTCAAAGCACACGTGGGAGACGTCAGTTCACCAGAAGCATGCCCTCACGGTATGCTTAGTTTTAACACAAAACGCGATTATAATGTGAGCAGCTTTTGAAGCTCTGTACTGACGGCCAATTGTTTCTCCACAATACTGGGTTTAGAAGCAGCGGTGGCTGCTGTGCGAGCTGGTGTCCCTGCAACGCCAAACAACCTTGGAGTCAAACTGGCCACATTGCCGTCAGCTACCGATGACATGGTTCAGCCGTTAGCTGTTGTGTGTTACACAGATCACGCCATTGTTTGGTAAACTTTCGGAAAATTTCCCCGATAAACTCCAAAAGACGACCTTCTCATTTGGCAGCAGAAAAGCTCTGTGAACCACAAGTTTGGCAAACATATAACCTACTATGCAATGCACCACAACCGACCTCGTCGAAGAAAATTGACCTTAACTAGGATCAGATGACCACGTGTACATGTTATACCTACAACACAGCTTGTGGTGAAAGAAGGCTTTCTCCACGGAGTTGTTTATTAGCGAAACACCAACTGAACCGTTACAGACTATTGGACAGGGGAACAAAACTCCCATATGCTTCACGTTTGCCGAAACTGAATATCCATCTTCTCCGTGAACGCTTCTTCCTGAACTTTCCTGGATATTTATTGACTGCTACTCAAATGCAAGCGGAAGCTACAAAGCGACTCCACAAATTCCGTAATAGATCTCACTTTTCAAGGGAGGCGAAGCGGATTTACGATAGAACATACTACTCGCATGCTCCCATCAGTAGTACCCACCGGTACAGTGGCATTTCCGAGCGCCTACACAGAAACCACTGGATCTCAGAATGGTCACTATCACTTCCTGATGTGGGGTGCTCTATTGCCTCGGGCTTAAAATATAATTTGGTTAGACGATCGATTAGACGACAGCTCAAAAGTAGCATCTACGCGGAAGGAGAGCCGTGGGCGAACCAGAGGGTTCAAGAAGTGGAAGAGGACAATGCGCCTGAGAATGCGCGAGGGGTGTCACATCTAATCGTAAATGAGCCAATCAAAGGTAATATTGGAAACCTAATATATCATTATGACTAAGGTCTAGGTCGCTGGGCAGAATATTTCCGAGAACAGTTTAGTTTACCCTCGGCCCCTGTGTCTAAGTCTTTCATTCGACCCGCTCACTTTGAACCATGGTTTGTGAGTTTAGATTCCCATCATCTGACCTAGAAACTATCTGTATTCTTAACTTGAAGCACTATCAGGTTTCCCGGTCAGACTGGCCTTCCCCAACTTTGTTCAAAGATGTAGGACAATCCTAGTGTTCCGCTT